GGTGACGGCCAGTCCGGCCCAGCCGTCAAATTGCAGTTGGCGCACCCGCTTGGAAACGCCGAGAACCCGAGCTAACTGTCCTCGTCAAACGTGCGCTTTCTTGCGCGGTCGTTGCCAGCATCGATTGGGTATTCTTTCAGCACGTGCTGTCAAATGGCTGACGGTTTAGCTCCAAGGTAACGGTCAAGGATTGGCTGCGTCCGACTTACTTGGCTAAGGCCTGACATTACTCGCAAGTCTAGGGTAGAAGCGGCAGCCAGTTCCCATAGAGTCGTGCGTAATTTCAAGCCGCAGCCAAGTGACTCAGGCGAATACTCATTTTGATATCCAGCCGTTATGTTTATGCATGTAACTCGGGCACTGAGTAAGTATCCTTGTAAAAGCTATCTCTCTCAAAATACATCAAGTAATCCTGCATGCAATAACTGACCCATCATCATATTGCTGTGTTGGGAATAAAAAGATTAAATTTCGTCTTTATTCAACACTTTCAGCCACAGGAAAAAAAAAGCCAAAAGCAGTGATTTAGACATGGTGGGTAACCAGGAGTTAACCTAATCGTCGAGGCCACTTTGCGAGTTTACGTTCGACTCCGCCATACGCGCATTATTCAGAGCAGACATCAGTTGTTTTATTTAGTGAAGACTTATTTAAGGGTAGTAAATTAACCCATATTTTATTCAACAACCGAAAAGTAGGTTAAATAGCGCGAGCCAGCAATTGTATAACAATAAAAAAAAAACAACGAAAATACAACCGTCAAGGCTTTGTACAAAACGGGGATACGTTTTGGCGCTCATTGTCAGCGGTTCCAACAATAAAACAGAATCTACCAGGTGACCTTGGTGGTCGGTTGACGTTGGGGATCTCCCATGTATATGTACGCTGTTGACGGGTAGCGCTTGACTTGGACATCCATGCCGCACGTCAAGGCCTGAGAGTTAATTAATGGTCACGCGGTGGGCGTCCAAAACCCTCGTGCCGCCTCAGGCGGGAATTTCACGTGAGGCCGCTTTATCACGTTCTTGGATTTGAAGCGAATAATTTCTGACTGAAGTCACCCCAAGAAACAATCATGTTAGAATGTCATATCTATGTTCTTTAAGTAACGTTAATAAAAAAGTCACCTTGAGATGGGTAAAAAGTGAAATTCAATACCGACCTTTCATTTCCAGCATTATCGTGCCCAGGTTTCCTTGTTCATGCACATTTCTTTTCACTTCAGTACTTACGTGAGAACGAGAATGTATAACGTTGCAAAGATTTACCTGTCCATAGTTGATGGGTTCTGGATTTATTTTGGCTGGCCTTACGTAGTTATTCTCAGTAAAAGTTACATTAGATTTCATAATCTGTCATCAATGCCGATTATTACCTTGAGTTTATTTCCTTAAGAAATATTCAATGCAAACAATTTTGTTTTGCTTTTATTTAAGCTGTACCTAAAGACTACAATAAAATGATTTCGCAACTTTACATTTTCATACGCGTACAACTATGGTTACACTGTCGTCATGTATTTTAGATGTTTAAGAAGTGAGAGGTAAATCAAATCAAGCCTTTTTTCAGTTTTTATAATGAATGCGCTCGAAAATACTGTGCAAAGTCCTTTATCGGGGGTGATTTTGTTTAGAAGTAACTGAATGAAATATAATCTTAGAATCTGCAGTTCTAAGATTGTGTCACGTTATTTGTCCCATTAAGGGTTTCGGGAGCGCATGATCAGGATCTATCACACAAGACTTAGGGTTTATAGACGACATTTTGTTCTGTGCAGGACTACGGTACGTCTTTGGTCTATACACCCGTATGCGCACGCGTGAACACACGCCTACAAAAGCCGTAGCCACAGATCTGGATGATCGATTTGGACACGATCTTGGCTGCAAGTTCTCTCTGACTGAGATGAAATAAAGCACGCAGAGGCTGACCCTTTTAAGCAAATGATATTTCAAAAAAATTAATAAATCTTGTCTGATCGATTGGGTTGGTGTCCCTGGGGAGGGATCTTTGACACACCTGTCCCAACAGAGCCAGCGTAGAGGGGCACGAACACACTACCAGCTGCCGCCAATTGCTTTTCTAACACCAAGAGCGCATTAAAAAGAAATGAAATCCCATATGCCACCATTACCCTATTAAAGGCGTAACCGCCACCATTCCCAGTGACGAAGCACCCGTTTCAGCAATCCCTCCAACTTCAAACACTTTGACTCGTATCCAACACGCGCCCGTCAATTTGGTGGGTGTTGAAAAGTGACCGTAAATCAGCGACTGGAGAGGTGAAGTAGTTTCCTGTAACATAACAATGAACCCGAAGGGATATCGCAACATGCCCCGAGCCGATCCATGGCTACAGTGGCACAATTAAAAACTCCGTTAAAGGTCAATTAATTCTGGCGCTGTTACGCCGTGGTTTACCCAATCAATAATGTAGTGAAATGAAATACTCCGCCGCCGGCAACAGTCTCTACAGATGCGGCAGTGCGCAGCGTCACACGGAGCCAAATTTACCTCACGGCAGAGCTCTCCACAGCCCCCCTGGGAACAGTGCTTGCTCTTCATGCCAGTTTTCCCCACCACCCTTTGCCTTTTGTACCCGTGTGATGCAGCACAATTCTCAAGACGAGCAGGTCGCACGTTTGTCATGAAGCATATTGATACCTGCACGAAATAATTGGGAGTAACGGACACTGCACCATCTCTGTAATATGCATGAGTTGTACCACTTCACTGCATCTTATGAATTAACCGTAGCTATGAAGGTTCACGTTGTTCTTACATTTCTAGTCTAGTCTTCAATGCGTTAACTGTGTTATACTTGTATGTTTTGGCTGTGTTGTATAAATGAGTGAATACAAAAGATTAAATTACATTCAGCGCAACTCGACCTGTGTAAAATCAAATTTCAGTTTCATTTGCTTTTCAATTTAATTTAAATTTGTTGTTTAACGTTCATTTTCTTGTCATTCCGACGGACCCTGGAGACTTACTGTGAAGCCATTCACACGTCACACGGGAGACTCCATGGCAACAGCTGAAATTTTCGATTTTTGTCAAAAATCCTCCTGAACGATGTTGCCATACTTTCTGGCTGCGTTTCCTTAGCGTCAGCGGAAGACGACAAGAATTGTTCAGTGCGACCCGACAATTTGATTATTAATTCACCACTACATGGCGTGCAAACATTTAATCTGCGTATAAAGATATCTCTATACCTAGACGTGCCAAGTTAACATTTATTCCCTGAATTATTCCGCAATCGAGATGTCCCTGTTCCGTATTTAGAGATATCTCCAGTAGGTTCCCGCTTCCGATACGACGACCTTTCCGTTAACCTAGTGTGTGGGACCGGAAACATAATAGAGATATCTCTATTACTAATAGAGATATCTCTATTACTAATAGAGATATCTCTATTACTAGTAGAGATAACTCTATTGGGATTAGAGATATCTCTGTTCCTAATATGAACAGATCTTAAGGTAGCTGTATACGCGGATTAGATGTGAACGTTGCCCGCCATACCACAAACATATAATGAAGGACGAGGTCAATTGGTATTGCACTTGTGAATGTTTATCAAAACTTTTACACGATTACGATGAATATCGCCTTGGTTGAATTTTAAACCAATTAAGGGTGAATATTGGAACAGTACAAGTCCAAGAATGGGTTCATTTCGACCCAACTGCTTAAATTGACATTAATTTCTGGTTCACTTTAACCAAAAAACTGGGTGTTTATTCAGCACTCAATTTCATTAATTTGAACCAGAAGTTAATGTTTGGTGATTCCAGTTTGTTTTCAGTGTATATACGGGCAAAATCGAAACCTTTCATGTTATGTCTCCCTTTCCAAAACAGCTTTTTGAAAGACAGTGTAAGCCTCGTCCCAAGGAGTCAACGACATGAATAAGTGACAACGCCACGTGAATGATACCCTAATTTCCTGGCAGATCATTCATACACGAAGAGAAACTTGGACCGACGGCACAGTGTCTAAGGCGGTTGATCTAGTACATTAGTTCGGTAAGGGCTTCACGACGTCACGAGTGCGTGCGATGGAGGGACATGCATGACGCATAGTCAGGCCTACATCTCAAGCTAGGCAGGCACAGGTTCTCAGCTAAAGGAGTCGTTAAGTAAGTATATAAGGTAAATAAGTAAATAAACTTATTAAGTAAATTTGTTCTTGAATTTACTTAGTTCGCCAAAACTAGTGACGCGTAGATCGTGTTGTGTATAACGCTGCTGAAAAGCTTTCCAGTGTCTAAAAATGTTTAAAACGCTGATGTTGCGCAGAATGATATCTTGAGGTAAACAAACCCGTCTATCAAAGTCGTATGGGTTGTTTTTCCTTAATATTTGTGGTGTGAGTTTTTCCCTCCTTGGATTATCACAATGTTTAGAATCATATGAGCAAATGCCACTTTCGATAAAGTAGTAATGATAGGTTGTCAACATCTTTCATTCGCATTGACAACGACTAGCTGGCCGGTGCGTTGGAGAGAATCATAATTATGAAAATCTCGTTTGGTATTACTCAAGAACTATTGGTCAGCCTTCTTTTTGAAGATACCTCTGCAAAATGAAATGTGCCACATTCTGAAAGCCTGCATGGTGCAGTGTCCTATAATTTGCAATTACTGTGTCTTGACTTCACAATTGTGTAGTTTTTGCATCCTCTCACCCATAAAACCGACTCGCGTTGACTACTTTAACGATTCGATCAGATGAAAATGAGAGAAATCAGGCCTATGGTTTTCAGTTGGAAAGATATATAGGCTACGGACACAGTTCGCTGTACTAAGTGCGCTTAGAAATTTTTTAGTATGTGGGGTTCTGAAAAGAGCCGCTGGTACTCAACGTTTCGGACAGTATGCTCTGTCCGTCGTCAGAAGACTGGCATAGTTATTATTTATTGGTCGTAGACTTTGCCATCACTTGAAATACGCGCGCTCAGACCAGCAAACAAGAGGCAAATAGAAAGAAACTTACCGCCAAAGATAATCCGTTGTAAGCTCTACACACAGAAATCCAGCAGACGGTAGTGATTAGAATGTCGCCAGACCCAAGCCGGCGGACGGAACCCCAGCAAGATCGCTGCTCCTGGTGTAGCGGTTACAGTAATGGCTAGCTGATGTGGGGGCACGTATGCAATCCCCAAATGCTGCAGGGAGCATCGCGCTGGTGCTCAGGCAAAAACTGCAGTTCAGACGGGAAAAAAATAACTGCTATTCACCTCTGCGCGCAGAATAGCCTAGTGAGGCTGTGAGTAGAGACTGGCCGCTGAGGAGAATAGAAATCCTTGTCTAATATGTAAAAGCGTCTGACAAGCCTGCCGTGTAACGAGAATCACTCATCCTGCGTATAAATACCTTGAAATAATGCGCACCCGCTCGTTATATCTGCCCTGGCCGGGCAATTGCGCTTCGGGAAGCGAGCGGAAAGACAACGGAGGTGCTGGCACTCAAAACGTCAAACGCGATGTGGACAAAAATCGCTCCGATCGGCTCAACCAATCAACCGTCGGGCCAGCGATATGAGACGGTTAATGAGAGAACAGACCTCACGCACTGGCCAACGGCTGGGCCGTGAAACGCGATGAGGAATGTTTTCTGGCACTTCGAACACGAGACAAACCATTCGCTGCTGGTCGGTTGCCTTAGTTACTTGTTGCCAAAGAGACCCTTCTCCCATTAACTCATTAGGGAGGAGGAATTGGTCGCTGACGATGACAAATTAGTTTGCTCATATGCTAGAGAAAAAAAAGGAATTTTCCTCACGGGAGACAAAAATGACATTCGACCGTGGTGTCGTAAAGACAATGGTTTGCCATGCGTGTTGCATTTTTTGTTTGGTTTATAAGGCACCTAGACATAAACCATGGCGGTTTGGTGACAGCTGCCTTTTATTTGGCAAGAGAAAATGGAAATAAACTATGAAACAAAGTCATTGTGAGGTTGATATGCACCGAGGATTCCATTCGTATACTAATAATCTCCCCTCACAAATTGTGCGTGTGATTTTTCTACGTAAGTTACAAACAATAAAGTATGTTTCAAACTCTAAACCAAAAGGTATGTGCCGTGATTAAATCACGGCCACGTGTTTCTCCAAAGCATTGGAGCGTCCACAAGCATCAATGCCAACATGGGCATCTATACCCAGCAAGAAATGAGACCGAGGGGTACCCCCCCAACATGTCCAATCCCTATACACATTCCAGACTATTGTTACTTAACACATCCCCCAAGATGTCTGAAAGGAATTCCCCAGATTCCTGCCAGACAATGACCAACACAAAGCGGGGGCGGGGGTTCTCTCCGTCTCATACCTTGCTGCATATGTGGGTATCGTGTGGGCGACAGGGACGCCGGTCCCTAGAAAAATGAAAGTATTAAAGGGACAAAAGAAACGAAAAAGACAAGATAAAAATATCTTGAAACTCACTTGAAAATACCTCAGAATTGACCCCCCCCTTTCACCGTTGATGGTTTGTCTGTTTGATGCTGATGCATGGTTTGCCCTCCTCCCCCCGAAGAGCTTTTTCCGTTTTCAGCGGTCCTGTAACTGATATTCTCTTCAGACTACGCGTGTCTACAATACGGGCATTTCACAATAGTGCGCCTCCAAGAGTTTGCAACGCACTGGCCATTGATAATGCGCGAAATCTGTCGAGCCAATGCGCGTTTGGAAAGGTCGACAGATTTCGCGCATTGTGATTGGCCAACGCGTTGTAAACTCTTGGAGGCGCACTACTGTGATACCGTGCACGATATGGGGCCGATGGGTACCCCTCTCCAACATGTCCAATCCCTATACACACTCTAGACTATCGTTACCTAACGCACCCCCCCGATGTCTGTAAAGAATTCCTGAGATTCCGATCAAACAATGATCAACACAAAGGTGGGGGTGTGCTCTCCGCCCCATATCTTGCATCATATGGGTTGGTATGTTGGGAAGTGCTTAAGGATCGGATGAGGGTCTTTCGTGATGAGGATCCAGACATCAGCTTAGACAATAAACAGACTTTTTCACCAGTTTTTCTCCCACCCATGCATTTGTGTGGGTGCTATGCATTGGGTGGCAATTGTTCTGGCAAAAGTCCTCGCAGGATAAGAGAGGGGTTCGGCCAATTAATACGCTTTCTGCCGGAATCCCGTCTTCAGTCCTATCACGTTTTGACTTCTCTTAGTAGGTCAACTGTTGCACATAAGCAATGTCCTCGTTCCACACTGACACCATCTGAATGATCTTTTGGTTTTGTAGTCATGACCAGTCATGGTTTTGTCAACGACAGGTTGACGAACACAGAGCTTATGGCGTAGTAAAAGAACGCTCCACAAAACAAGATAATCGCTGTGCCCACGGTTAATTAAAGCTGCAGACACTTTAATAGACAGCTATACGGAGACTGTCGCTGGGGCTAGGGACTACAAAAGGGTCAACCCTGCTCATTCCGGTGTTGTGATATTCAGACTTCATTCTGTCGGCCTGTCACTCTCACAGAGTTTTCACCGGGAATAGTTGCAATTACCCCTTAGAAAATACGGGAGGTCTAATTGAATTTCATTAGGAACCACCACATCTGCCCCGTACGAGAATGACTGTTATTAATGGCGGAGCAAGTTATAATGAAGACCGTGGCAATTATCGCGTGCTTTTAGACGCTACACATAATTTGATTATTTCGGCTGAAGAGTCTGCATGTAATTTATTTCATTTTTCTGCATGACACTCTCCCCAAAGTACTAATAAAAAAATGTGTGTGGACATGACATTACAGCCATGCATATCAAGCGGAGAGGCAGTGAACCAGTGGCATGACAGTGATGTGATATGCACTGGGTCAAATCGACTCAAACAGTGTAGGCCTATTTCCCAACCGGTCCCTACCGAACAACGGAACTGAACCGACCCAAAATAAACAAATATCTGGCTCTAACAAATTTCTACCCATCATTTTGTCTGCCTTTTTTTCCCTGAACTTATCAGCTTTGCATGATACTTGAACTTCAAACATTGCGGAAGCAATCACTTTGGACGACCTCGATTTCAATAAACCACCTGATATCAGTGTGGGGTTTTGTCAGTTTTAGGGGGAAACCTTTGAAGAATATCGATTGTAAGTGTGCATAAAAAAGCGGCGAAATTCTGGAATTTTCTTCAAATATGTTAATAAAGCTAACTGCTTCAGGGTTACAGATCAGTATTATAGGCCCAAAACTTTCTTCTCAGACCAAATCACAGTTTTGTGCATGCATACTCTCAATTTTTATTCATTTGCGTGCTATCAAAACATGTCTGTGGAGCAAGGTTTGTAATAAAGAGGGATTGAAGTTTACCAGCAGGACCGCCAGCTTGCACTGGACAAGACACTGAGCAACATCCAAAATGCTCTAATTTGCATACTAAAGACGTCAATTTTCAAAATGACAATCGCAGCATCTGTTTTTACAGTTAATCATCTCTCTAGATCTTTAAAAGTCATTGTCTCACTTAAAACTTGCAAGATGAGGATATGAGCGTTAATGTGTGTCTTGATAAACCGATAAGCCGATAAACTGTAGATTTTCCTGCTGATTGAAATGCGTATTTTGTCAATCGTGTCCATTATATGTACATGAAATAATTTTACTTGTCTTCAACCTTTTTATTCAGTGAACTTGAGGGCGCTAGACAAAGTTTACTGCCTGGCTGCGGCTACGAGGACATGACGCAAGGTGTCTGCAGCCGCTATCGAGTGGCTTCCGTAAGTGCACATGTTTCTCAAAGCTGCAGCCATAGTATTTTGACGAAGCCTTAGCTAGCGTGATACCCACTCCTTAAGAGCGGATTTTCATATACATTTGAGTCAGGTATCTGACTACATTAAAGCTGCCATGCGACTTTCACTTGTTAGGCGCTTCTTGTTGACGATGGTGGGTAAATCTGTTCATTAAAACTAATTGGCATTCCCAGTTTGTAACTCCATTGTGCTTGTAAGACTACTAATCAGAGAACACGAGTGTGGTATGACTCATTAGCTTTTATTTTGTCGCTACCTTTTATAATTTTCTTTTGGATGAAAAGTTTAAGTAGAACAACCATGTCAACATGACTAACGACCCTACTCCTTAGGCATGCTACTTAGGCCTACATGTAGGCTACAGATCGCCCCTTTTAACATTTGGACATGGTCGGGCGATAGTAGGCATGGTGGCGTCTATGTACCTTCCGCATCAGGCTTTGGACAGTTGGATTAGGCCTAGGCCTAAGTCAGAATCAGAGATTCCAATAATGATGATAAGGTTTACTCGCATTTGGGAAGAAAAGAAATTTTCCCCTTCAAATCAAAAATGGTCTTGTCGTTGAGCGTGATGTTGCCAGTTTGTTCAAATAGCAATTTGAGGTACATGTACATGTATGTAAATCATGTTAATGTCTACCCCAGAACTGTGGGGTTTGACATCTGCCCCGCTCCCATGTGGGAGCGGGGCAAACGTTGGACCCCACAGTTCTGGGAGCGGGGCAGATGTCGGACCCCACAGTTCTGGGGGTAGGCCTAGTTAATGTCCTGGAGACGTCATGGTATGCCAGCCTCTAGGTCTAGCGAACCATCATGCCCATTTGCATGCCGTGTCAGCACACACGCGCTGATGACTGATTCCTGAGTGCCTTATGTCTGGTAGCTGTAATTACCTGTACATCGAAACTATACACCAGACATTGCGGCTGTCAGGAATCAGTCGGTGTGACAAGACCGTTTCATCATTATTGGAATCTCCGATTCTCACTTGATCCTTAGCCGGGTGCAATACACAGTCTAAGAACCATTTGGGAGGTGAATTTGGAGGATTTTGATTCGGGGTACGAGCTATTTTGAGTGAAATTAATTAATGGAAGCAAAAGCCTATGGAAGGCAATTGAACCCTACTATCGCTCGACCATATCCAAATGTTGAAGGTGATATGTAAGGTCCAAGTTACTCAAACTAATGTACATGTACGCCTAGGCCTACATCATCCTGTGTCAGCAGAGGTGCACATCACAACTCGGAGACTGTCTTATGGAGGAGTCCCTTTATCCAAGGACAAAATCAGTCCTTGGAAAGAGAGAATGCCTCTCTACAGATAGGGGGACAAATTGTTTCAAGTGAGCATGGGGGTTATACCGTTACCCAGGGGATCCTGTAGATGCCTTAATTGGATTCAGCCGAAGAAAACCCCAAGGCTGCCGTTTAAGAAAAATTCTACCGTTTACTTCTAGGATAACGAGCAGGAGTCATCTGTGGCACATAAAGGATGGGGGAAAAAACTGCATCAAAACAATTTTTTTGAAAATCAATTCTTTATGATACATGTATATTTAATCGTGTGACATGGCACAAAGTTCATAAAAACAACTTAAATTACTAAATAGGAATAGAAACTACAGGAGAAAAAATCAAAAATAGCATGTGGATGTTTTTGACCTACAGTACATGTAAGCCCATTTGTGAAAAATGTCCCCTTTAAGGAGACATTCTCCCTTTCAAGGGACTGCTTTTGTCCCCAAATAAAGGAACTTCTCCGAATACAGGGACAGTCCCCGAGTTGTGATGTGCACCTCTACTGCATGTAGACATACGCCTAGGGCCTAGGCTATGCCATGTTTAAACAAGAAGATTTCGTACGTTGATAGGTTACATTTGCTGGGGAGGTTTATTCACTTAGTAATATCTCTTCAGAATGATGAATTTCACAAGTATTTTGCCCATTCACGACATCAGCCGTAGTCTGTGAGAGCACAACGGACGTCAAATCCCATAGTTCTGGGGATATCCACACCTCAGAAGATTGACAGCTTGAAGATATATCATTGTTGTTGGCAACATCAAGGCTTGACCAATTGCAATGTCGCTAGTTGTGTTGGTAATCTGTTTATTTTCCTGTCACCTGTACCGGTAGATGGTCACTTTTTGGTATAGCCTAGATTCTACTATGATACGCGAATCTCGGACCTTGTTCCCTGTATAGTTAAGAAACCAACTTAATGTATATATTTTGTAAGTATCCAGTTCCGCTTAACCCCTTCGGGGGAGGGGGATTCTTTTGATCGTGACTGCTGGGCTGTGGGTATGCCCAGTATGCAAAGCTCTGTCCAGCAGCAGGCCCCATTGAACCAGCAGCTGCATGGGGAATAGACTGTATGTGTGGTATTCACTAATCCTCACACAAAGTCCGGGCTGTGGATGGCTCCCAGTATGAAGGGGTTAATTACTTTTGAAATGCCAGCCTCAAACTGATTAAGTATCCTTTGTTCTTACGTACATGTGCATATATGCATTAAATTACCCCATCGTCATTCATGACAAAGTGAGCCAATGGCCAGGTGCTCAGGACTTGTATCTCAAGATAAAACCCCCGAACCCTAAAAGACCAGATCCAGGGGGATCCCAAAAATTTCTGCTCCCCCCCCCCAAAAAAAATTTGGTTCCAGAATCTGGATCCACCTTTACTCACTAATTACGTCACCAGACAAGGGTAAAAGCCTTGTGGCCTGGCAGTATAGAAAGGTGACACAAGGGTTTGGGAAGCTCACAAGCTGACCTTTGACACTGCACTTCCAGTCTGTGTACAATGTAAATGCTCAGTCAGTCTCACCAGCAATATTATGTGTTGGCACAAGTCTGTGGCGTACATTTGTGCCGGGGAGGGGGGGGAATAATGGGCAAAGCGAGGATGACGTCAATCCCCAAATTGTCCAGACATGGAAATTGGAAAGGTGAGGGGACCGGGCCACTGTTCTTGATACAGAATCCATCTTACATACTGTACTTGATACCCTCAGCCTTACATGGAAACTGTGTATTTTTAGTTTTGGGTTTTTGGTTTCATTTTTGTCAGTCCTAATGAACTGCAGTTTAGTTGTTGGGAATTCTGAAAAAATTCCTCAAAATTGACCTAAATGATTTTTCCCACCATGAAAATGTGTGTGGGGGGGGTGATTTATTAGCCCATCCCTCCCTCTCCTTGTCAAAAGTTAGGTGTATCCCCTCTTGATTTACACCCATGGTTACAAATGTACACGTGACCCAGTGCTTCACCATAGATAGAGTGGATGGGTACACAAAGGCGACAAAAGATTGTTCCGTTCTTAGTGAATCAGTCGACCATATCATTCAATTCTGTCCAAGCTGTGGCTTTTTGAGAAGTATATATTTTTTGAATGACGGCAGTTGCAAACACTACTGTGCCTACTGCCCTGCAGTTAAACAGAACAGTGTAGACACTTGAGTGGGCACGTGTACTTCAGAATACATGTACATCATCATAAAGAATACATGTACATCATCGTACAGAATACATGTACATCATCATAAAGAATACATGTACATCATCGTACAGAATACATGTACATGTACATTACAAAGTAGTACTACTTTTTGTGAAGTTAGTATCAGAGATCCCACTATTCTTGGCCCAAGACGTCAGTGATCGATAGTTGTTTTATTTCTGTTGAAGAGCGCCCTCGTACAACTAGTTTTTACTTACTCTCACTGGCAGCGCACAGTCTAATTATGTGTCGTTGGGGGTGCACTATGCACGGTGTCCGCTATCAAGCACTAACGTCTTGAAACCAAGACTAAGATCCTACGTGTTCACCTGGCATCAGCAATCTATTACATGGATGATTACACTGTGACTCGCATGCTCCATGCGAGTACCAGCATCACTCTTAATTGAGCACTATGGAAAACTGCATTTAAATGGGTACAAGGTGCTGGTATATATGAACATTACATATATACCTTTAACTAGTACTGAATATTGCATTTTCCTCAATGTACGTGCATCCTATACTTTGCTTACAAAAGTATCACTCAAAAAATCCTTCAGGACAGTTAGTTACTTTGGAACTCAGAACAGATCGACAGAACTGTTGTTCATTTCTGATTATTGGGTAAGTACATGTACACTGTACTGCATTGTCATAGGTGGGATTTTTGCAGGGGAGGAACTTCCACAAGAAGCCACAGAGGATTTGTACACATTCTCTTGAAAACTCGGTCACACTCGCTGTGTGTCCCTCACACATGTATGACATATTTCAGTGTTAACATGTTATATATACACAAGTGATCTTGGTCATATTTCCTAGGTGGGCAGTGCACAAAATCTGTCCCAGTGCGACGCAAAGTTGACCAGTTGTTGATGAAATGGTAAGCGTTCGAATTTGCCCAGACGTGTAGTGTGTGGACGCTGATCCCACAGCATTTATGGGGCTGTAGCTTTTGCCCAGTCGGTCTCTCTACCTGTTGAGGGCACACTTGCGCACGGAGCCCAGGGAGCCCGACAGAATGATCAGTCAACCGTATATGCAAGCCCAACCAGGAAGCAGTTTTTTTCCCCATAACCCTATTCCCTCTTTGTCTGTCTTTGTTCTGTAGGCAACTGAAGCTAAGCAGATGAAGCTGGGTACCGATGATCGACAGGGCAAGCTCGCCCCTCTCGTTGCCCAAGGCTGGAAGGAAGTCGAAGGGCGCGACGCCATCCAGAAGGTCTTCATGTTCAAGAACTTCAACCAGGTCAGCATTCAGGTGTTACACTTGGACTGGAAGTGTTTAATAAAAGGCACAAAAAGGGCCACTCTCGGTTACATTTGTGATAAAGAAAAATTGGAAAAGCCTGTAATTGATATCCTTAGCCTCTGAAATGGCCTGTGTATATTTCCATTATGCCATTTATACATGTATTAATCTACTGATCCCAGTTTGTTCATTTCTTTTCTTTTTAACTTTTCACTTTGGGTCAGTCGTCCAATAACTAGGTTGATTACATGTGTGACATCAGACAGAAACAGGTTTTTGTACCGAAAGTTACAGTATTTTCTAAAAATTCTTTTAAATGGAGGTCAGTAGATTAACCGTAATGACATAATGGAAATGTACATGGGCCATTTTTGGTTGTCAGGTGCATCAGTGTAGAGGCAATAACTTGATTGAGACAAGTGAATGAATTCTGAAAAAAAAATCAGTGTTCATTTCATTGTCAAAACTGTCAGGTAAAATTTGTTGCGCATGTTTGGTTCTAAAGGGGAAAAACAACTTTGTAAGAGCCAAAAATTCTCCACTGTTCATTCAAATTATACTTCACACTGATTCACAATTTTGAAATGTTTTTGGTATGAAAAAACCAAAAATTACAGTCATCGGGAAGACGTTGCTGACATCACTGGCCCCTTTAACTTTTTTTGGGTCACAATTTTTTAAGACTTTTCAGAGAACACGATATTTCTTTCGTGCATTGTGGCATTTACATTCAAAATGGTTTTTTTTACCAAGTGACCAAGTTTAAGGGAGCTAGGTTGGCATAGTGGTTCTCTTTCTCGGTTTTCACCTCTGTGCCCCGGGATCGATTCAAGGCTCAGTCTTACATGTACATTAGGTTTTCTGTCCCAATCAATTGTGTGGGTTTCAACCCAGAATATTCTTCTGGGGTTTTCCACCCACCTCTGAAACTCCAACTGCTTCTCATTGAGTTGCAGGTGTCTGCTCTGACGGTGTAATACCAATCTTGACTCAGATCCAGCTCTTATTCTGTTCTGTTTCTAGTCACCTCGATCAATAAATAGGGAGGGGAAAATCAGTTTGTTTTGTCAGTGATGCCGTTAACAGAGTTCTGTTTACTTTTGTTGACTTCAGGCATTTGGTTTCATGAGCCGCATTGCTCTGCAAGCAGAGAAGATGGACCACCACCCGGAATGGTTCAACGTTTACAACAAGGTGGACGTGACGCTGAGCACACACGACGTCGGCGGTCTGTCGGACAAAGACGTCAAGCTGGCCACATTCATGGAGACCGCGGCCGCCTCCGTCCTGCCCTCCTCGTAAAAAAAAAGAAAATCGCAAAGAGAAACATATTGCTTTGCACATTAACTCGCAGTCCATCGACTTTGTATTCAGTTTGAATTACACCCTCCCGCCGAACAGGAAGAATGTTGTGGTCGTTGTTTGTCAACGGCTGTTTAATCTCTGGGTGATAAAACCGTGAAAATCTGATTTCAACAATTACATGTAGAAGTCCGTTTGGACAGCCATGCATATCATTTTTTCCATTTTTATTGACACTAATCAAGAAGCAATCTTCAGTACAGTACAGTAGACGGACAAACTGTTCTTCCCTCCCTCATAACCCCTTTGCTCTGCCCCCCCCAAAAAAACACATGGAAAAAAGGAAGAAAGTCCGAGATCATGTACTGATCAAAGTGATTTGCAGTGCTAGAGTGACTTGATAAAGGGATTGGAGGGAATGTTTTGTCTCCTCCAATAGCTGAAGCACTTTCAGTGAAGCTAACTGTTGTTCATTTGAATTTAGGGATTCAGATCCAAAAAACTTCTTCCGTGCAAGGGACCCTGTGTCCCTTGGGCAAGAGCAGTCTCATTTTTTGCTTGGGGGACCCAAAGATTTCAGGGAGCAGTCTTCCAGCCCACTGTTACACCCTGCCTGTTAAGTGTCCATGCCTTGCTCTTACATTGTATCATGTATGGGGAAATTAACCCCGTGTTGATTTGTTGGTTTGAATTCTAAGGCCAAATGAAAAAAAAAATTATGTTTAGCCTCCTCACCTGCTTCCTTTTTGAAGGCCGTCTGGATTTATTTTAAAAACTTTTTACCACAGGATGTTGGGTTAAAAAACAAACAAAATTGCCAACTGATTCATTGGAAAGTAAAACACTTGCAAGCCAGAACTCCTAACTTAAACTGTGTGGATCGCTGTCTACACCAGGCAGTTGACCATTATTTCTCCAAATATGTTTTAATCTAACCACGTCCCAGTGCTTGGCTTGGTCAGCAAACTGGATGTGTCCATGGGAGCTGCTATGTACTTGAATTCTTATAATCTGCCGTAAACACACTGAGGAAGCTGCCCAAACCACTTAAACTAGTTTCAGTTCTCATGTCCAACACGTTTCTGTTTCATTTTTGTGTCATAGAGCAGAGGCAATTTTAGTTGTTGTTATAAATATGTAAAACCGAGTGGCGGCCATCTTGAAAATTGACAATTTATTGAGCCCTGCCACTTGCATATTTTTATGGGGATGCACAACATGATTATGTTTCTATTTGGCCTAAGCATTTAATCAAGCCTGCGTTAGACCACAGACCGTGGTCTGTGGTTAGACTGAGACACAGCAAAGTACCATGGAAGGTCTGTGGACAGGTGGCCCAGTGGACTTTGGCCAATCTACCCCTGTCTTCAAGTTTGCACGGCAGTTGACTGAGGTGTATGGCGTTGCCGACGTTTGCTCTTTTGCGCTGTGAAAAAAACGGGACCTTGGATGAGGATAGCACGGTATATTAATTGTATTACTGTGGACTGTTCATTACCGAGGGAATACTCCTTCATGATATGAAATCTCAAAGATTTGTCCGAAAATAAGTTTCTCGTTCCAGTTATTTTCACATCACATAAGATATCATTTTTGTTTTCATATGTTGTTGCTCTCAAGTACTTGATCCTATTTAATGAGCTGATTAACAGTTTCTGCGATCTTTTGCCATTATGGGTTTAACATACATGTATGGTGGTTGTTTTTGTGATTAGAAACCCTTTGTTTTTCATTTTAAAAAAATATATAACACACCGCCCTCACTTGAGGGAGAGAAATCATCGTAAAATATAGAATCTCAGGAATTGGCGGCCAAATCTTGACATGTTTTACAAAGTAAACAGCATCGATAGACACACTGAATGCAGCATTTTTCCCACATACATATTCTCTTCAGAAGATGATCTTTAGTATCCATGCCCTTGGCAAAGAGATGTTCATATCGTCAAAGAAATTTTTTTTGTCTCAAGGGACTTTCGTTTCTATGTTGGTGTCCATCCATTACAGGCAATATTTAAATGCTATCGGCGCCTTAACGAAGTACAAGATGCCTGAGTTCGTTTTCCTTTTTTCCCATCTCAAAACTTTGCACAAGCCTCTATAACATTTTTTATAAACTTGTGTTCTTAAATGCGTAATGCTCTTATTCAGTGTGGTTTCAATGCACCTTGAAACTAAATGAAACATTTTGAAAAGAAAAGTAATAAATGTAAAGGAGGAGAAATATCTGGTAATTGGATCTTTTGTTATCTTCTTGAGCTGCTTGATTGCTTCTAAACTTTTATTGACAGTCATCAATTTTAATTCTCTGCAATAATACCATGGTAAAAGCACCACACCCCCCCTTAAGCCGCGGACTAAACAGAACTACCAGTGAAAATACGGAAAACGAGTTCCTGAAAAGAAATCCTGGACGAGGATTGCGCTGTCCATCGGTCCATCTAGAGTTAAATAATTACATCGATGTCTTAGATTGGAGGAGAAAGTAATATGGTAAGTTTTGAAGTATCGTTTTTATCAGGGAACGGTGCATGATACTTAAGGACCACCTTAGCATAGCAGGACATCCCTTCAGTTCGTCCATCACCCCCCCCTTTCCTAAAAGCTAGATCCTCCCCTGACCACTACTTTGAGCCTCGATGTAGGCACCATTTTGAATGGGCCCTAGACAATCAAATGGACAGCCAGTCGATTTTCTTGATACTAAAAAATAGTGGGACGTATCGTTACAAATCCTGACTTTAAATCGGTGAACTGATTTCTGCAGTGTTGAGTCCACATTAGGTCCATCATAAATCATCAAGTCTCAGGTGGCAAGCTTTTCAACTGGCAACTGGAAAATAAAAATGCTTCCCTTTATAGTTTCTTTTAAGTACGATATTTCCTTATAAAAAAGAAAGAAAGAAAAAGCCTCAACCCCCCCCCCCCACATTTCTGATTGTCACTGTAGTGGATGCTTTACTTGAAAAAAAGGAATTAAGTCGAACTTGGGCTAGAAAAAATCCTGCTTATACCAAGAATTCAATTGCCTGTTAGAAACTCCAACCATAAAAAGACAACATTTAAGCCTGAACAATCAACAGACTCGTTTGCAAAATTTTAAGGTAGCGCCGATTGAGATTATAAACATTAAGCAGATGAGCTTTGGGTGAGGGAAAGTTTTAGCAAGTTGTGGCTCGGGAGCGCCATCTGCTGATTCCCCACACCGCCCAACCTCCCTGGCCTTGAGCTAAGATTGCTACTTTTAGCCAATGGGATGACTCAAACGGAAAGACGTCATCGGAAAAGCCTTCAATACGATGACGTCACCCACCTTTCAGCGCAGGCGCGACTTCATCAGCGCGAGGCAAAGGGAGTTGCAACTTTGCTAACAGGTTAGGTTGAATTTTGCTCGGATTTCTACCCTTTTGGAATATCATTTTGCAGCCATGAAGAAGGGTGCCGTGTTGTCACTTGTGAAGGTTTTTCTGCTATGGATATGTTGTGCAGTTATAACGGCGGAAGGTAAGAAATTGTTCAAAGTAGTAAAATCAGTGAACGACCGTGTCGGCGTTCTGCGGCCAAACGGGTCCTAGCCTGTACCAAGCAACAGGGCCTAAAATTACACAACCGCCTTTAGCAGCCTCAAATGCATATTGAGCATGTTGAGTTGTCAAATAGTCTGCTTGAATTGCTGTCCATAGTTAGGTTTAAATAGTATTGAATGAATCAATGTTTCCAGTTAACCGTGCCTCAGTTAAACCAGGCAGGATGTGAGTTGTGCATTGTACATGTAGGCTAGTTTGGGCACCCCCTGCCAGGCTGCCTTTAATTTATTTAGGCCTACTTTGCAATATCCTTATTTTGCAAACGACAAAGTGGAGGCATAGTGTAAGCATAGGCCTAGATTTTTTGGAATCTCAGGTGTCTGCATTTTTAATCGCCTAAAGTATTGAGGCTTTCCGTACCAAGCACATTTTAAAGTTGTATACAATGTACACGACGTACATGTAGCTTTCGCTGTTAATAAAGTAAAAAATCATCCAAAAAATAACAACAGGAATAGGTGTGGGCTGGTGGGGCAATTACATGGAAGAAAGTGAGTTATTTTCCTACTTGACTCTACACTGTCAATTCTAGCTTCCTTCTGGGCCTGTAGCATGACCTTGAGGGGATTTTAAACACTGTAAAGTATACACATACTGACAGGGAGTGTCTGACAAGAATTCCATCCGTACACAGTGCAAGCATGGTTTATTCACATGCGAACCAAGTTCTGACCTCACTCGATCACTATGATAAATCAGGACCTGAGGAGAGGTGTTGTAATCAGAGAGAATTGGTCACATTCCCAGATTTGGCCCTACATGTAACTCACATCCACGGTGGAAACTGGAAAGAGCATATGGCTCAAATTCTGTAACCAGAAATCTCATTCTCAAGCTAAGAAGGTGAGGATAAACATTTAAGTTTCCAATTGCAAAACACAATTGGATCCATTTACAGTAGGCGTACATGAATTGACCTGTTACCATACACCCACAAGTTATCCACACTCCTCAGACAGTCCCCAAATGGTTCTTTGTACACTAGTCTCTTCGTCTCTGATCTCGCACATCCCGTGTCTATTTCATGTACCAGTATTTTCACAGTCTGTGTTGACGAGATCCGACTGTGATAAGTTAATTGTAAAAATCTGTACATGTGCAGTGCACTAAGGTAAAAAAAAAGCATCTCAAACTAGACCACTTGCTGATTCAATATCCTTGATCATTGCCTGCAAATTAATAAGGGGAAAACAAAACAAAAACAAAACAAAAGGGTGGGATATCTACACATTTAAACAAAACAAGTTCCAAATCCGTTTACAGATTTTCCCAAACGTTTAAACAGAGCCGCCACTTTAAGAGGTTTGATGTTTTGATTGACACAATTTGACTTTCATTTTTATTGTAAACGATGCCTGTAAGATGTAATCTGATTTTAAGAACACTTTCCTTTTGGTATCCATGTACTTTTTGAGAATACAGTGGACTTTAAAACAATAAACATTGCTTGTTTTAAATGTCCCAACATCAATTTGACATTTTTACATTGGTTGGACCATCAGCATTGTTGAACTACTGTGTATAGTTATGCATACCGGTACATGAAAACACCGAGGTACATGTACATGGCAGCCTCTGTAAAGTGTTGGCTAAATGTTGAAACGGTATCGGAACGTTTTCTATCAAAACCTTTTTCAAATTAAATGTAAGTTCCCACCCTTACAAAATACACATACACCCAAACTGGCCATAATAAGCAAACCTGTAACCCAAAAAGAGCTATTGATTGACAAAGACAATTCAAAACTTCAAGGCCATCAAGTTTTTAAGAATGAATTTTACAGATAAAATATTAAATACCGGTACCTCTGTTTAACTGGTACATGTGTGTGTGTGTGTCAAAATACACCCAGCAGATGCATAGTACTACATGTAGATTGAATCCTTATTCAACTTGTACTTTTAGAAGTGACCAAATTCTGCAAGAATCCCCCAAGATTCCGGTTCTGATTTCCTACTTTGTGAAAGGAAATTTTAGCTAACAACTTCCTGAGCAGAGCTACCGGTAAAAATACAAAATTTAAATAGCTGCACTTTTGAGCGCTGTACGGCACTTCAGTGTATGTATACACATACCGGTACGTTCACATCCAAGTACCGGTAGGCAGGAAAAAAAGGGGGGAACTAACGAGTGCCTAGCAACAGATTATTATGCATTTCCTCTCAATCGTTGGCGCTTATTAAAGACGTCTTGTAGTCGCTGCGTTGGCGTGCATGAGCATACATACTGTACATGTTGGCAGTACTCCACCGGAACTTGCATGGGGCTATGTCAACGCACTTGCTAGTTTCTGACAGGTGGGATTCTCACCGAAACCTACATGGATAATTTCCGGTTGTTCGAGTGGGGAAAGAAAGGATTTCTTTATTTACCTTGGGTCACACAGTGGCACAAAAACATGAGGGATGTAAGGCCCTCTTACACATATAAAGAGAGAAAACGGCATGGAGAACACACCGTGTATACCAAGTCAATGCAAATATACAGGTAGTTAAAATAAATGGGACTTTTTAAGTATACTGGGTAATTGTACGCCTCATTACTTTTCCTTGACAGCAAATATTCTATGCACATATTTGCGCACACTTTGCGCAAACAAATTACCGGTAGGTGTACATGTGGTGGAATACACCACATTTACCTAGTAGTCCTCATCTGTTGGTATTTAAGGTCATGTCCATTGGAATCAACAGACTAATTAATTCCTATGGGGGTGAGGGCAAGGGGCAGGCTAAAGTGGAAGAAATTACAGAAGGAAGAAAAGAAAAGAAAAGGTTAAGACCCTTTACAGTAGTTGCTTTAGTTTTCAGCTTGCAACATGTACACATGCAGAGTAATCAAAAGAAAATTTATATAACAGTAAGGTGCGTGCATCTAATTTTGTATCTTCCGTTCAACAATAAAAGTTAAAAAAAGGAATTCCTACATGTAGTCCCTTTTTCACCACACATTTTCAAAATGCAGTACAGTAAAACACAAATGATACCAGGAAATATATGTGAACTGGCAAAACTTATGCATATGCATTGTTAGCTTTAAAACCCTAACCGGCCAAGGGCTGCTGGACCTAACCTTCCCCAATCACACAAACTTCAACACCATGGAAAAACACTCTTACCTCATCACAGTACCCAATCCCACAGACTTCAACAGTACTCCTGCTGCAACAGTACCCAATCACACAAACTCCAACAGGTCTTTTCTTGTGTACTTTTGTTTGATTGGATACAGTAGGCCCCTTGCACATTGCAAAGAGTATGGATCCACTGTACCTACATGTATATACTATCAAACAAATTTACACAATATCCTTGTGTGAAAACTTTATCTATGCCACTTAAGTATAATGAAGTGAATGACCCAACTGCTGGGCTCATGGTGAGCTGCTTATGTGTGGCCTACCCCTGATTCCCCTGGGTCTCTTCTCAGGCAAGGGTTGGTGCAAGGTCAGGCTACACTCCCACCTGAGGCAATCAATCAGTATGCTACAATATGCCAGGTTTCTGGCCAGGGTCTGTTGCCCCTTTTTTGTGCTTTTTCTTTTTATTAAAAACTAGAAAAGAAAAGTTGTTAATTTGTTTTTTGTCTTTCTTTTCTCTTTCTTTACTTTGTTCATCTTTATTTTCTCCTTTTATCTTTCTTATCTTCTTTTCTCTTTCTTTACTTTATCTGTATTTTCTCCTTTTATCTTTCTTATCTTCTTTTCTGTTTCTTTACTTTATCTGTATTTTCTCCTTTTATCTTTCTTATCTTCTTTTCTCTTTCTTTACTTTGTTCATCTTTATTTTCTCCTTTTATCTTCTTTGCTCTTTCTTGTCAACTTTCGCTGACATTTCTTGCACAAAACATGGCAAGCAGATAGAGTAACCCCTCCACTGTGTCCTCTATTGCATTGCATTAGAAACGCACACTCATAAAAAGTGGGCACTATTGAGTCTATAGGTAAACCCCAGCAGTCACAGGGCTACAATACCCATTCAATAAGCCATTTGCGAGTCAAATTTGAATAAAATTTGGAACCCTGTGTTATCTGATTGCACAGAAACGTAACAATTTGAATTCCCCAGACTAAAGACACTGTTGCTATACTC